GGCCTCCCAGAGAGCTAGGATTACAGGCATAGAAAATATTTCTGAACTTGAAGACAGGTCTTTTGAAATAACCAAGTCAGAAAAAAATTTAAAAAAATAAAAAATAAAGAAGAAAGCCTATGGGACATATAGAACACCATTAAGTGAATAAATATTCACATTATGGGATTTCTAGAAGGAGAAGAGATAGAAAAAGGCATAGAAAAACCTATTTAATGAAATAATAGCTGAAAACTTCCCAAGTCTTGGGAGAGATGTGGACATTTAGATACAGGAAGCTGAAAGATCAATCCAAAAGTTCCTCTTTGAGGCACATTATAGTCAAACCATCAAAAATCAAAGACGAAGAGAGAACTCTAAAAACAGCAAGAGAAAAGCATTACGTCACATATAGAGGAATCCTCATCAGACTAGTGGCAACTTTCTCAGCAGAAACATTACACACCAGGAGAGAATGGGATGATATATTCAAAGTGTTGAAAGAACAAAACTTTCAGCTGAGAATACTATATCCAGTAAGGCTATCCTTTAGAAATGGAGAAATAGTCTTCCCCAGACAATCAAAAACTGAGGAAATTCATCATCACTAGGCAAGCATTAAGAAATGCTTAATGGAGTTCTACACCTGGAAGCAAAAGGACAGTATCTACCATCATGAAAATATGCTCATCATAAATGGTAGATCATATACACAAATAATAATGAGAAAAGAATCAAATGTAATCACTACAGAAAACTACCAACTGCAAAGATAACAAAAGAGGAAGAAACATATTATATTCAATGCTCATTGAATATAATGGGCTTATTTACTAAACTAAAATGATGTTCTTACTTGTCAAACTAAAAAATGGTAGAAAAGACTAGATAGGTAATTTGAATGCTTAGAAAAACAACTGGTGTGTAATTTGCATCCTGGGAATAAAGTCAGCGCTTTTGAAAGCTTCAGTAATCCTTGGTAGACTGGAATGCTTTAAGCATTAAGAGGAATTCCAAACAGTCTATTCTTACAACACTTTGATCACCACATTTGCGGCTTCAGTTATTGGTGTTTTCTTTGGATTTCAGTCTGAAGTTCATTTGCTTGCTCTCTCCCTTTGAAAAAGTCCATGCAAGTGTCCACTCCAAGGTACTCACCAAGGGCAATCATCATTTTTGGAGATATTATTCTAGAGGAAAGCGGAGAAAAAATTTTGATCCTTGAGAGGGGGTAAAAGAGACTACTTTGCAAAGATTAAGTGAAAATTACACGAAGTTCAAAATATCACTTAGTGGGAGGGCCAAACAGAGAAGTGCTGTGTCACACCTGAGTGCCATCAACATCCTCAATGCCAATGGCTCCCAACTCTGGCTACACTTTGGGATCACCCCTGGAGCTCTGAAAAGTCCCAATGGTCAGACCACAATTTAGCCATATATCACACTCAGTGAGTTCTGTGGAAAGACTACATATATTTTTATTTAATAGGCTAACACACAAATGGTAGCAAAAACTAGAAAGAAAACCAGACTAATTAAAGCAGAATCTCTGGAGGGTAGGGTCCAGGAATCAGTAGTTTTAAATGTTCCCCAAGTGATTCCGATGCGTACCCAAGGTGAGGAGCCATCGCTTCAGTTCCTTGAGGATAGAGCCTGTATCTTCAGCTCAGTTCTGCTTAGATCAGCTCAGTTCTGCTCAACTCAACTCAACTTAGCAATATTTATTGTGTGCTTATTAAATGTTGTGTACTGTCTTGGGCCATGAGCATGGAGCAGGAAACAATTCAGACAATGTGTTCTGTCCTCAGGAAACATGTAAGCTAGTAAGCAACCACTGGTGCAATGAGTGCTCCAAAAGGCAGGGACAGGTGTGATAGGATGGTACAATGAGGGACTTTGACCTACCTAAGCAATCAGGGCAGCTAAGGATGAATAGAATATATGTTGAGTAGATATAAATAAAATATCATATTTATCAATAACCATAATTTTATAATAGTGAATCTCTGCTTGTGCTTTCTACTCTGCTAGTACTTATAGCAGAGGATGATGGTAAGAGCTTAAGCTCTGTAATCAGATTGGAAACTTTTGCTTGAAACTTTGTTCCAATGTGTATTAGTTGTTTAACCCTGAAAAAATTACTTATTCTCTTTAATACCCAGATTCCCTAAATGTTACACAAATTCATACAAAGCTGTAAGTGTAGTAGCTGGCACACAGTAGGCACCTCATAAATGTTAGATGTGGGCCTGGTCAGAATCCATTTACAAATACCTTGGAGCTCATAGCACAGGCCTTGTCTGAAGTTGTAGGAGCTATTTCACTAAAATACATAAAGAACTTTCCAAATACCTATAAAGTTTTTCTGGCAAGGCAACACACTTGGGTTTTCTGTCCCTTGTTTTCAAAATAGAACTCTACATTAGTCAAACTAAATAGTTGGCTAAAATCAAAAACATAAAAACAAACAAAAACCTCCAAACAATTTGTGTGCTATATGTTTCTGTGTTGAAACAACGTGTGCTCTGCAAGGCCTGAATATTTGCTAAATTTTGGTTCAATGTCTTAAGTAACCAAGACACAGCTTGTAACAGTACAATAAATTGTCCTTGCACTATTAATGTTCTTCCTCTTATCATTTTAAAAAAATAAGAAGTTGCTTTCCAGACAAGTTAGTAATGACTGGACAATTTGTTCACAAATAACCAAAGTGATATTGAGGCCATTGACGCCAGTTAATACTTACTGTTTAAGAATCAATGCAAAATATAACAATTTGGGTATTATTACATAAACTTGTTCCTCTAAAATAGCATTTACAATTGTTTTGGCCACATATTCCTGCTCCAGTAATGGTAACAGAAATGGATGCCTGGAATAACAATAACAAAAAGTGAGATCACCAGAATGGTAATTTTTATTGTCATCATGAGCATCGATTAATAAATTTCAGATATGGAATTACAATATATAGCTGTATATATATCAAACAAAATGTAAATCTTAGGAATTACCTTGTGTTTTCTCTCATGACCAATACTGGGAGCAGTGCTAATTTATATTTAATTTCCTAGAGTAATTCTTTGTGCTTTTGTTGATTTTCTGCTATTGATGGTCTGGACATACAGAAGGAATTGCTTTCAGATTTTTTTTTTTTTTTTTGGTATCTTTTTCCCCTCTTTCTTCCTCCCAAATGTCAAACAATTGTATGCCATTGAGAAGCAAAAATTCAAAAATTATCTACTGAAAAATATGTTTTGAGCATGTGTAGTGTATCATTTTAGGCAGATCATTGTTATAGCATTAAACAGAAATAGATGTTTGTGAAATTAATAGGAGTTGAAATGGTTAAGAATATAAATAAAGATCCCATAAGGTGTTACTTTGACATTTTATACTTTTATATTATTCTTCTCAATTACTTGAACCACACCCTCTCAAAAAATTCTGTTTATTTCAGCTGATTCTTGGAATCTAATCAATTTTCCATAATTGAATGTTGGCAATTAGTCCTTATATTTTATTCTCCTAAAAGTTCTTTAGAACTATAACCTAAAGGGCTCTAAAATTTATTAAAAAATATATGCTACATATCATTGTTTCATTCTCTAACATTTTAGGATTATTAATCTTTCTTTTTCTGGAGACTCCTTTTTTAGCTTTTGTGGACCTCAGGACCCCAGTTTTATGAAAGTCATCATTTACCATCATTGCCTCCACTAGCTACTGTGCCCCCCATCCTGGCTGGTCGCATTCCTTCTGTGATCTTGACAATCTAGCTTTTAATTGCACTCAGTCACATATTATTATCAATTCTTACTAATATTGTTATTTTAATAATAATGTTAGAAACAAGTAAAGACAGCAATTTCAAAAATGTATATGTATTACACTTACTTTATATATACTTTATATATACATACATATGTATAAATCCCTAAGTTTATTATAAATATTACTAATACAAAGCATGTATGGTACATGATTTACTATGACTAATAAAATGCGATACTTTTTGTTATAAATTCCGTATAGTCAATTACTTCTCACAGAATGCTTTTACCGATTTCTGTTGAATTCTTATGTCACATATATTCTATGGTAGGGATATGCCACATTTGGGTTAACCATTCATCAGTTGATGGATATTTGGATTGTTTTTGCTTTTTAGCTCTTATGAATGATGCTACATGAACATTTGTGTACAAGTTTTTGTGAGGACATGTGTTTTTATTTCTTTTGGGTATATACCTCAGAATGGAATTGATGGACCATGTGGTAACTTGTGGTATATTTAACATTTTGAGGAACTGTCAAACTAGTTTCCAAAACAGTTGCACCAAATTACAATACCACTAGCAATGTATGAGGGTTCCAATTTCTGCATATCCTCACCAACACATGTTATTGTCTGTCTTTTTTATCACAGCCCTAGTTGATGTGAAGAGTTGTTCATTGTGTTTTCTTATAATAGCTTTATTGAGATATAATTAATATACCATAAAATTCACTTCTTTAAAGTATTCATTTTAGTGATTTTTAGTATATTCGTAAAGTTCTTCATCACTGTCTAATTCTAGAACATTTCCATCATTGCCCCCCAAAAACCTCATACCCATTATTGGTCACTCCCAATTCACCCTTTCTCCAGTCCCTGGCAACCAATAATCTACTTTCTGTCTCTATATGCTATGGATTTGCCTATCCTGAACATACATACTTCATGTAAATAGAATCATAAAATATGTGGCCTTTCGTGTCTGGTTTCTTCCACTTAAAATAATGTTGTCAAGGTACATCTTTGTGGTAGCATGTACCAGAATTTCATTCCTTTTTATGGCTGAATAATATTTAACATATGAATATACCACATTTTGTTTATTCATCACTTGATAGATATTTGAGTTGTTACCACCTTTTGGATACTATGATTAATGCTGCTATGAACATTTGTGTACAAGTTTTTGTTTTAATTTCTCTTGGGTATACACCTAAGAGAGGAAATACGATAATTTTATGTTTACCTTTTTGAGAATCTGTCAAACTGTTTTCCAAAGTGGCTGCACCATTTTACAGTCCCACCAGCAGTATATGGGTGTTTCAATTTCTCCACATTCTCATCAACATTTGTCACTGTCTGTTCGAGGATAGCCATCCTAGAGAGTGTGAAGTGGTTTCTCATGGCAGCTTTGATTGCACTTTCCCAATGACTGATGATGTTGAGCATCTTTTAATGTGCACATTGATCATTTGTATATCTTCTTTGGAGAAATGTCTATTCAGATCTTTTGCCAATTTTTAAAATTGGGTTATTTTTATTATTAAGAACTCTTTATGTATTCTGGATACAAGTCTTTTATTATCTATGAGATTTGCAAAAATTTTTCTCTCATTCTTTAATTTGTGTTTTTACTTTATTGATGTTTGTTGAGCACAGTTTTTAATTTCTATGAACCCAATTTATATATCTTCTGCTGTTGTTGCCTGTATTTCAGTGTCATAGCTAATGAACCATTGCCTAATCCAAGGTCATGGAAATGTACACCACTTTTAAAAGAGTTTTTTGGTTTTATCTCTTACATTTAGTTTTTAAATTTATTTTCAGTTAATTTTTGTATAGGATGTGGGAGTTGGGGTCCAATTTCATTCTTTTGTGTAGGGCTGTCCATTTGTCTGAACACTATTTGTTGAATAGAGTATTATTTCCCTATTGAATTGTCTTGGCATCCCTGTTGAAAATCAGTTGAGCATAAATGTAAATTTATTTCTATACTCTCAATTTGGTTCAGTTGATCTGTATATGTCTATGTTAGTAACACACCATCTTAATTAGAGTAGCTTTGTAGTAAATTTTCATATTTTTGCCCATTTTTAAATCAGATTATTTATTTTTTTTGCTATTAAGTCGAACTCCTTATATATTATAGTCATTATGTCCTTGTTGGATAGTTTGCAAATATTTTCTCCCATTTTTTGGATTGTTTATTCTCTTTATTTATTGTTTTTTTGTGCTGTGCAGAAGCTTTTAGCTTGATATAATTTCAATTATCTATTCTTGCTTTGCTTGTCCGTGCTTTTGTGGTATTACACAAGAAATCTTTGCCCAGACCAATGTCCTGGAGTGTTTCCTCTATGTTTTCTTCTAGTAGCTTCACAGTGTCAGGTCTTAGATTCAATTCTTCAATCTACTTTGATTTGATTTTTGTGTATGGTGAGAGATTTCAGTAAGTTTTGAAATAGAAAAATGTGATTCGGTCCAACTTTCTTTTTCCTTTTCAAGATTGCTTTGGCTTTCTGGGTCCCTTGCATTTTCATATAAATTTTAGGAACTACTTGTCAATTCTTGCAAAAAAGACAGCTAGAATTCTGATAGGAATTGTGTTAAATCTGTGGATTAGTCTGGGGAGTATTGACATCTTAATAATATTAAGTCTTCCAATCTATGAACATGGGATTTTTCCTATTTATTTAAGTTTTCTTTAATCT